CGGTGACCCTGGCAAGTTTCTTGGTTATATTTTTTACAGAAATAAAACTACGCTTTCTAAGTTTACAAAAAAAAAAAAGACCTGTGGAATACATTTCTGACGAAAAGTTTAGATACCTACACGCGATTTTTACGGTCCATTCTAGATCGAGGCTGGTGACTTGGGGCACTCTATATGCGTCATCTATAGTCGGCTCAGTTAAACAGGTTTGGCTGGTTATGGTCAGCAACATCCACTACGAGTTACTTTTAACGTGAAACGTTATTTGGCTCGTCAGAGGGGGGGGGGGGGGGGGGGGGGGGATCGCCAGATTTTGTGAAGACCGAAAATTCGACCGCAAAGCTTGGCGCTGATTTGCTGGTGGAAAGGTGACGTTATCAACGCATATTGGCTGACCCATGGTTGAGTATGCGGGGTTCAAGAAAGCTGCGAAGCTCTTAAACTTGACTAGCGCCAGTATCTTCATTTCAGGAACTGCTGTCATAAGTCTGTATGCCACGTGTTAAGTTACCTGATGAAGAGCGCCGTGAACCTATACACCAACTCATGTTTACAAACAAACCGGAGCGCCCCTAGCGGACGCCACCGGCGCCGCGCATGCGCGGTGGATGGTGGGCAAGAAGCCCGCCGTCGCCCATAAACAAACCATTGAATTGCGTTGTTGTCGGCGTCGGTGGGAGTCCCTGTGCTCTTTTTCGCGTTGGAATTGTTGATTCTACGTCCTCCTAACAATGTCCGATTACTTGTGCGGCTTCAGCAAAACTAACGAGGCAAAACTTTGCGTGAATAATGTGACGTGCGGCGATTCATTTCACGTGGACGCCGCAGAATGGGCGCTAAACCTGACTCCCACGATGAGATTCTGCTCGCTATTTTTAGTCGCGACGTCGCTCGGACTGCAAAAGCGTGGACCGTAGCTGAGATGGTGGACGTCGATACTGAAAACCGCAAGTAGAATCGGGCATTACAAGTCGGTGATGGCCACCGGTAACAATAATGATAAACATCTTCTTGTATCTGTTTACACTTAGCCTACTTACCCCAACCAACCTTCAAAAGTGTTTTGAAGCCTGCACTTAGTTCTTATCGCAATTACCAGGTCAAGGTTTGGTTTACGGGCCGCTGTCGTTTGACGAGCTGACGACAAAAAGCAGCCAAGTTTGAAAGAGCAGACGACAGTTCGAACGCATGCGCAATGGAGAACGGGCAAGAAGCACCGCGTCCCACGTCAACAAACCATTCGAATGTCACCTTGTCGGCGTTTGTGTGAGTCTGCATACTCTTTTTCGAGTTGGAATTGTCGATTCTACGTCGTCATCGCAATGTCTTTCTTACCACTTTAATCGCCTGAGCGAAATTATCAATTCTTGTTACGCCGCTAAACTTTCCGTAAATAATTTGCGATTCATTCGCGTGAACGCCGCAGAATGGACGCCAAAATCATGATGAGATTCTTCTAGCTATATTTGGACGCGACGTCGCTCGTGCTGCAAAAGTGTAGAAGGCAGCGGCGATGATCGACGTCGATATTGAAAATCGGAAGCGGGAACAAACCAAGCGTAACAAGTCGGTGATGGCCACCGGTACCAATGATCAACATCTTGTATCTACTGTTTACATAGAGCCTACTTAAGTCTTTCGAGGCCTGCTATTACTTCTTATTGCAATTACCAGGTCAACGTTTGGTCCACGGGCCGCTTTTGTTTGAACGAGCAGACTACAAAAAACAGACAAGTTTGAAAAAGCAGACGAAAGTTCGAACGATCAGGCGGCCGTGTGAATTTGAAGACGCACTGAACCCGTGGGTGGTCCGGACAACTTGGCGGTTTTATCTCGTTCATGTGGAACAAAGCAAATACATCTGGCGACCACAAAGTGTTGCCCGCACACGCAATTGTAGAGCGACAGCGTCTGGTTTTCCCTTTTCACGGCTACTATTCACGTTCTCGGACGAACGGAGGGGGCAGAAACACATGAAAACTGATCTTCAAACCTTTCCAGGCTCTCTTGGTACAGCCCTCGTCGCAGCATTTGGCGAGAAGGCAGGTTTTTTGTCTCGTTTCTTCCAAAGGAACACAGGAATGCATGTCTGGCACGGCGACTTCTGCCCACCGCCCCAGACCGGAAGTGCGTCCGGCGCGCCACCACCGCGGCGTGACGTAGGAGAGTTGAGTTGGTGTATAGGCGCCGGACTCGGTAACGTTCCGAAGCGAAACTGGAACGTTTTACGTGCAACACAATTGCACAACAATTTGCTACACAATTTCGTTTCGCTTCTCTGAAAATCGCGGACGTGAAAGGGTGACTTATAAAGAGTTGAGGAAACAGTACTACCGGTTTTTGTTTGACTGATGAAACGCTTGCTCTTCCGTGAGAAGCATTCTCCTTTCACATAGTAGCGTAAACGACTCAAAGGGAAGATGGGGCACTTCTACATTTGAGAAAAAACGCTTGAATTGCGTTCATTTGGCCTTTAGAATAGCAGATATCAAAATTATATTTCCATGCGACGCGCCGGAGAGCCACAAGAGCAATTTCAAAATAGGGCTGAAGCCCCGCCTCCCTAGCCTTGGGCAGCCAAAAGAGCCGTCGATGACGTCACGGACAGCGACTGTCTTTCGCGTTTTTCTCGCGTTTAACAATACTTACGCAGCAAATGGTTTGGGTATTCGGGTTCACGGGGTAGAAATACACTAGAATTCACTTCTAACTCATTTTTTCCAAGAAGCTCCGTTGCTTCCCTTTAAATTTTGCGGGCTCAAATTTTCGCGAATCTGGCAAAAGCTGAAAATTTGAAAATATTCGCGGGTTCTAATTTTCGCGGATTTAGTGTAGCTTCCGTAGTTTTCACATATTGCCCGAATTGTTCGTGGGACGTATTTTTCGCGAATTGTAGGCGATTCGCGAAATTCGCGAAAATTAGGTCCTCGCGAAATTTTAGTCGTTTACAGTATTTGACTGAGGATCTATACATGCAATTTAAGAAAATGTCGGTGCTCGTTTTTCCCCACAGATTACTAATACTTACGGTGCTCATACAGCGGAGCACGAAGTTTGAAATACAATTCAGCTAAAAAAAAAAAGAAAAGAAATCTGCAAATATGCGTGTCTTTTTTCTTAACTGTGTTTAAATTTGAACGGTTTTTGGAGCACTAGCACTATCATTCTTCGATAAAAAAAGTTCGACATAGCACCTTAAGGTTCTTTGATAGCCTTTAAGCCAATTTTATATCAGCTGGATCAATTTTGGGAGGCAGAGAGGAAGATGACCGATGATAGATGTGCCGTTATTGCCTATCGTCGCGCAAAAAAGAAAAAAACATTAAAACTTTTTTTTTAGGAAGAATGTGTGTAAACGCTTTAACCAGAAAAAAAAATTTTTTTTTTTTTTGCTTATCTCAGACTTTGGCAAAAAGCCCGCTCTTTCAGCGATCAGATATATTCTTTTTTTTTTTGCAGGTTTCTTTGATTTAGGATGAGCTTTTAACCTGCGCCGCGGAGTTTCCGCCGGAAACCTGAGACGCTTAGAGAAGCAGAAGTCGGTTAATATACGGTGTCAGCACTGGCGCTGTCCATCTTAACCATTTTGGTTTTATTTTGAAAGTCTGAGCATCAGTAATTATCTCAAAGCTCCCGCGAGCACTTCTGGTGACCGAGATTTAAGAGAGCTTAGGTGCATCATCAACCCCATATTGTGCCGATATTGTTCTGTCCTTTTTGACATTTTGACACGACATCAGAAGCTACATCTATTGCTTATGAATTATAGCGGAATGTTCGCGCTTCTGCTTTCCCAACGAGCACTCGGAGACCCAGTAACAGCGACATATTGAAGAAGTTTCGTAAATTGCAAGCAGACTTGTATGGCACTCATTAGAGGTATCAAATTACTTGTAATGGACTACTTTTTTGTAATCTTGTAATAATTTCAATAAATTCACCAGGAATTATTCACAAAAGTAATCCGATTCCTTGTAGAAACACATATTACTTGTAATTGCTAGTGGCGCGCTTTATCTGTTCAAGTTTTCTACCAATTAAGTCTCGAACCAAAAATGGTTTGCCGAAGTTGGTGGATTACGAAGATAAGTAGAGTTTGGTGATTCTAATCCTATAATGGGCAGTGCAAAAGACCCATTTTTCAAGTCGGCAGAGAAATCTGTTTTGAAATTCTGAAGTAATCGGGAAAAGGGACGGTTACTTTTTTTTTTCAAGTAACGGCCAATCACTTTTTTTCCCACGTTATTAAGTAATTCAATATAATGTTTTTAAACAAAAGTAATTTTAATTGTAATTAATTATTTCTTTCCCATAACGTGCAGAAGGCTGATTGCAAGGCAGAAAATCGTTTTGACCCAACAACAAAATCTCAACGAAACACTCAGAGTGACGCTTCATATGATCACGTCATATGGTATGTCACAAGTTCCAACGTGAACATAGTCTTGACATGTGATCTTATGATCCTAAAAATCACATCGCACAAGCGCTTTTTTTTTTGTGGGTCAAACAATAGGTTTTTGACTTGTAATTTGACCAGCCTCCTCAACAGACACACAAACTGTATCACGGGAAAGTAGGCGTAACGGCATTTTAGAGATACATCCGACTTCTTGATCAAAAATGTAATCTTAACAATTCTACAAAGATAACAAGGAGCCCATACTGTCAGCTTTTGAGCAGTTGAATTCCTCGAGAGATTGTCGGATTCGCAATTGGACATGTATCTATAAAGTTAATTCAGTATTACAATTCAAAAGCCAAGAATTATTTCTGTTGTGATTGTTACAGCACCGTAAGGTTAAGATTTGAAAGGTACACAACTCAATCCAGATTCAGCGTTCCTCTCGTCTGACAATGATGTTTGTGTCACTCCGTTATATTCAGAAAACAGTTTAGCAATAAACTAAAAATACAATAGAGCCCAAAATTGAGAAAAACTCCTTACAGAAATGGGATGGTGCCACAAAACATCCTCCTGGAAGGTCTGAAGCTCTTACCTGAAAGCGACCCATCCTGAAGACACGCTGTGCAACGGCTACCGCACCAGAAGCACCCGGCCGAACCAAGCCTTCACTCCAGACGCAGCAAGGGGGAAAAACCCCCGCCGTCGAAATTTCGCGGCGTCAACGGGTCGGTCCCTTTGGACCCCACGCCGCAACCGCCGGCGAACCCCACATCCTGCCTCTGAACGGGCGGCGATCTCCTCCTATGCCACAGCCGGAGACGGCCAAAAGCGCCTTGGACGAGGAGCGCTGGGCTGGCCCAACACCGGGTGAAAGAGCACACAAAGCTCCGCACTGGAGTCGCCGGGAAAACCCCGAGTAGGGGAAGGGACCCTCTGTGCCGCCGCCGCCTTCAATGGAGAACAAAGCCGCGGGGTAGATCCGGACCAGCACCCGACGGCGGCTGAGCTGAGAAGAAGGAGCAATCCGGGCGGGCACCAGGACCTCTCGGCGGGCTGTTCCTTTCACCCTCGCTCGTCGGCGTGGGAAAGTGGCCGCGCTGCTGCTCGCTTTGCTCCTTACTTTGCTCCATTCCTGTTCTGGGAAGAAGGAAGGGAAAGGGGACCATTACCACGTGGCTGACGGCAAACAGCTGATCCCCGTGACGTTGAACGGCAAGGTCGTCCACTTTCAATCCTTACCTTTCATTTTCTTTTTCTCTTTCTTTTTTCTTTGTCTTTGATTGGATTCGCTCGCTCTCCATCGAGCCTATCCGGATGCAAGGATGGATGAAAGCTGGTAGATGCCCTTTCGGCGGAGGTGGCAGAGGCCTGTTTCGCGGATCGAGTGGCTCGGGGAGCAAGCGGAAGTGTCAAGCGAAAGGGCTGTTACCATGTTTCCGGTTCTGCTTGTTGTGATGGTGTGTTTCCACTCGTCGGCTTTTTGTCGGCGAAGATGAAGGTGGTCAGGCAGTGAGGGGTTGTGGAGGCACGAGGTATTCAGGTCGGCATTGTGGTTTCCAAATATGTACACGATGGATGTCTCGGTGATCAAACAAAAACACAGTACGAACGCGGCATTCCAGCCTTTTTTTTTTTTCATTTTATTCGCACCGGTTCGCATCGTATAACCTGCCTCAAAGCTTGCGTTCGTGTCCTACATGAGCTCAATTCACCACGGCAGCGCGCTTGATGACAGCCTTTCTGTCGACAAAGAAAACAGGAAAGACCGGGCATTGCGCGTTTGTGCGAACCCTGTCGCACACTGTACTTTATTACCTCCTGGCAACGTAGCAAAAGAGCCACTATGGACCAGTGGCGTCGGCAGAGGGAGGGGGGGGGGGGGGGTTTGGGGAGTCGAAACCCCCTCCGAAATGCCAAAGCTACCCCCCCCCCCCCCCCCCCCCCCCCGCGGGGCCCGCCCGCCTTCCTGCTCATGCAGTCGGTTTTGCACGAGGCACGGAGCAACGGGGGAGCGCGGACCATCTCCAACTTATATGCTTTCGGGAAAATTGTTTGTGGGGCAGAGAATGTTAAAATTAATAAAATATGCAATATGGCTTCATTCATGCTTATTCGATGGGATGCGGAACTTGATCTCAGATATATAGAGAACGGACATTTCGAAACTTTTGTAGGGTGAAGGATGGCAATTTCAAGGCAAAGTTTAACAAACTATTTTCACTGAAGTACACAGTTCAATCAAACCAAAATGAACATGATAAAACGAACACACGGTGATAAAATGAAACAATGTCAGCGATGTAAGGAATAATAAATCAATTGTAAAAAAAAAAAAAAAATTGCACTGTAAGCAGCTGGTGGCGCTGCGCTCACTCGCACATTTCGTGATCAGAATTACATGCTTTCGACTAGAAATTGCAGCGAATAAAAAGGTAACTGTGACTATTTGTATTAGAAATTTTTAATGTGTGGGTGCTTTCGAAGCACCCACACATTAAAATGCAGCCGCCTGCGTTCACGGAAAACAGCATCCAGGACGTCCTCCGCTCGAACTTTAATGTCGCGGTGAACATTCAAAAGCGCTATACTTCCTTTCAGCCCAGGTCCAGACGCAGCCGATGCTACAAGCGCGAGCTCCGGGCTTTCAGCGTCCCTGCCATGCACGCGCGTTCGCGCAATGCAAGCACTGTTCAGGGCCACATGCTCGCGCGTGCAGCATCGGCTGCGTCCGGAAGTCGAGCAGTCGCTCATTCGAAGTGGACGCTCTCAGGTATTTTTTCAACCATCGTAGTGAAGAGGACGAGCGCTCAGTTTCCGCTGTTGTTAAGGGCAGAGTCGCTAGGATCTTGAGGAGACGATGGACGCTCTGAAATAGGGCCTCCGGACAGAGGGCGACCGGGAATATACCGCAGACGTGACGGGCGCTTCACGTCTCTCCCTCTTGCATTGGACGCTTAAAATTTCCCTATTTTTTGGCGAAGTTTCCCTCACTTTGCAAAAATCGTCACTCACGGATGCGACGAAGTCCGTCTTGCTTTCTGCCTTGAATGTCAAGGTGGCATCCGATGCAATTCCTTATTAGATTAATCTCTTCATTGCACGGAACACCAGAAACTCCGAAGAGACAAGCCTTCATATTCTTACTACGCATGGGCACAAAGGTAATCAAGTTCTTTTCCACGTTCGGCGTGTACTTTCTGTAGTTTCTTGCCATTTCTCTGAGTGACGGAACGACGAGTTTGAACTGATGACTTCTCCTTAAGTCCGAGGATATGCTACTGCTGCCTTTGGACCACGCTGCAAGATTAGCAAATAAACCTTTAACAGATAATAGATTTTCGTTTTGTGATTGCTCAGAATTACCTTCGCCCTAAATTTGGGCCCCTAGTGTTTGTGCTCCAATCGCTCCAATTTTTCAGCGTCCGGTTGCTCCAATTTCTCAGCGTCAAATTTTTTTTTGTCGTTTTTTTTTGTGTGAAAGTATAGCATTCTTGTGTTTTGTCTGGCCGTCACACGTTGGTAATGCAGTGCTACCTCAAAAAGCGGAGGGAGTTGTGTGCTGTGAGGACCGCAAGTACGACGACGGTAGAACATTAAGCCACCACGCCCGTATTCCTGTAATTGAAGCCTGCTCTGTTTTGAAAAATAACAATGCAGCTTTACCTGCTTTATCTTACTAGCGCTGTCTGAACGTCCGTGTCGGCGAGCTCACCCTGCGTCATTGAGGGGGTGAAGGGGGGGGGGGGGGGGGGGGGGAGAGAATGCCGTTGAACCCCTCCCGAAATAAAATCCTGGCTACGCCACTGCTGTAGACGACGGCCTTCCAGGTTTGCTCAAATACTCACCATGACGCGTTTATTGTCGCTGACAAGCGAGGCACCCCGTTGATGCTCCGCCCCCAGCACGTGCTCGTCGCCTTCCGCCGGGCCTCGGTTGCGCGTACGACGAAGTGTTACCGAAGTGCTATGGGGCTCTTCCCCTGCCACCAACATACACGTTCCCAAATTACATATCAAAAGCCCAGCACGTGCGTGTTTGTGGCTTCGGAAAGTGAGCAAAGCGCGCGCCATCCACACGAACTCTGAAAAAGGCGCCTGGCTGAAGCGCTTTCTTGCCATCATCGACGAAAGTCAGAGTAATCTCAGATCGTAAACTTTCACAGAATTCCGACCGAATATTTACGCACAACATCGAACTTGTCGTTGTCATCTAAAAGTCATGGGCGTGACTTCACGAGCAGAATCCGTAAGAGAGCGCCACCAAAGAAATATCTCGTCGCCTGTAGGGCATATGTTTGAAGCACGTCAAAGGATTCATGCAACGATATCCGGTAGGAATGTTCTTGATTTTTCAGAGGCGTCTGGCCCAAGTATACTCGCACAGACCAGCGCTGATTCAGAAGCTTCTTCGTCGCGGGGAAATTGCGAGGATGAAAAGGAACTATTTCCTTCAGTCTGGCCTTTGCAAAGCTTGATGACGTAATTGTCGGAACAAGACAGACTTGTGCTCGTTACTTGAAGAAGGTAATTGATTACAATTACAATTACTTAACTTAAAATGTAACTGATCACCGTTACAAATTACGCGCCTTAAAAAGTAATCAATTAATTACTTCGTTGCTTTACTTGATAACTTTTGGCGTTACTCTAAAGAAACTCACAAACGATACTCAATCTTTACTGCGTGTTTACGGGGAGGGATTTACTGCCTCCTCTAAAATAAAACGCGGATCCAATGCACTCAGTAGAACTGGTCACAGGTTAGGAACTTTAAAAGGTCAAATCTGTAAAATAGTAAATTACTTAAACTGGTGTTTGGGATAAATGGGTCCTGCGCTAATCGACCGATCCAGTTGCACCATATGAACATACGACGAATATATTTGGGCGTTACCCTTACTAACGCTGGTGGAGGCAAAAAACATACCATTCGAAATTATTCAAGTTCAGCATTGACCAACTGCAAAATACTGCTTCCACATGCTCGCCCTGGCTGCTTCATGTTGCTGAATAGGTATTTTGATATTTTAAACGGTTTAGTAGCGAGAACGAAATGCTCTACTTGCTTTTGGATAAAATTCTAAGACTGCTGCTTGATGAAGGTGTCTATTCGACCGAATGACGTTTTTGTTCTTGTTCACCAAACTGAATTATTGATGCCCAAAGTCACAGCTGAATTAAGTATGCCATTAGAAATATATTAAAAAAATATTATCAGTAGTCAGCACACATCTACGTCCCCCACATATTTATTGTCATTCTCTCCTGTCTTAACTCGAGCTTCCATTTCAGCCTCTCCTTATGCACTGCTTCCTTTTCCCCAGTGTTTCGGCTTAACTTCCGGCATGGACAGTTTGCTGACGGGAATCCCCACCGGCCACAACTGGAACTTCCTCCAACATTCTCATTTCTAAGAATGCGGTTTGGAAGTCTGAAGCCATTTCGCCAGCTGCCTGCTCATCGCCTGTAGTCTAAAGTGACGAGGGTTTTTGGACGATCTTCATTTAAACTGACAGCATAATGTATAATACAATTTTGAGGATACAATAAGCTGTCGGTGTCACATCGCCGACGTCTCTTCTGCTTACATGAATTCGCTAGTGAGAAGTCACGTGGCAGAAAGCTCATGGCTGGTTGGCCTGCAGTGTTTAGCTTTTACAACGCACAGGCGTAAGCAGGGGCCAGGCCCCATGCCGTTCTTTGTGGGCTTCTGGGGTGGGCGCGCTTCGGCGGAAACATTCATAAAAAATCAACAACAACAAAAAAAAGCAGACAGGAGATGGGAGTGGTTATCATTTGAGCCCGTACTCGTTTCGACCTTTTCAAAGGGGTCATTCTCAAAACCTCCTCGGTTGGGCCCGGCGCATTTGGTTCGCTTTCGTTAAATCCTTCGCACTTCATGCTCAAATAAAATAAAAGGGGGGTACTTCGAGGTATCGGTGTAACTGCTTGGTCACCGCATACTATGCACGAAGAAGCTTCATGGAGTCCGTCCCTCCCTTCTCCCAAATGGCCTGCAATCACGCGTTTACATACACACGCACACGTGCTGCAGTTTTGCTAAGGGTTCCTGGAATACGTCCGTTCTGCTGATGAA